TGGCGGGAAGAGATACCCGTGTGCACAAATACAAATGCAGGATCAATCGATTTTATTTAAAAGAACCAATACATTTTTCCTTTTTGCCCAAAGTTCTGTAAGAATGTGCCGAGCTGTGAAGCCCTGATGTTAAAACAGCCAATTCTTTTTATTATTTTGTTAAAGTGTACACTCTTAGAAATGCATCCCTCTAATTTTTTTACTGTTTATTTATTTTTGAGAGAGATTGAGCGCAAGAGAGCATGAACAGGGGAGGGGCAGAGAGAGAGGGAGACACAGAATGTGAAGCAGGATCCAGGCTCCGAGCTGTCAGCACAGAGCCCCACGCAGGGCTTGAACCCATGGACCGCGGGATCATGACCTGAGCCGAAGTCGGAGGCTTAACCGACTGAGCCCCCAGGCGCCTTTTTATTTAAAGACAAAACCCAGTGTTACACCTTCATCTCTCCCGTGTGTTAGGAAAGTTAGGAAAGAGGGCTGAATCGTAAAGCCCTCCCAGAAAAGCTCAAGGTGAACACGAGGAGGGAGCCGCCTCAGGGCAGGGTCGCCGGCTCCCAGGCCGAGTCCCCTTCCTGAGGAGCAGGCAGAGTGCGGCGGTGTCACCTCCTTACCAGGGGACACGACAGAACTTTCCGACTACAAAAACTGCCTGCTTCTCTGCAGGGCGGAGTCACTTAGTAGCACAAACCCCAGCCCTCAGGTTCCTGAGTCATGGCCAGCAGGCGTGTGTCTGTCTGAAGCAGGTGATGTTTGTCCCCAAGCCCGCAGACCTGCCTGAGGCCTCATCTGCAGAGAAGTCACCACCGAGACGCCCCATGCCATCAGTCCTTCCAAACCTCAACAGCACCTCCGTCCCTGTCCGCACTCCTGGGGACCCGGGTGTATGACACAAAGGAACGCACACCTAACGCGCCGCGGACACCCGTGTGGCTGGGAGACAGGCAGCTTCGGACACAGACTCCGAGCGATTCTGTCGCTAACACCAGCAGTGGCCCCTTGTTCGGCGACCAGACAGACACGTGCCGGCGCGTGAAGGTCACTGCGGGGAAACGTGGGGACAGGGCTGTGCTCAGGCTGGGAACTGCGGTCACGGCTCAGACGCAGGACGTGGCGGCAGCTGGTAACGCCCTGCTGTCTGCACAACTGAGACAAAGGGGCTTTTCTGTTAAGGAAAATAAATCCCAGTGGTCGTGATTTAGAAAGAAGATGAAGACGGTAATTTGAGTAAAACTGGGATTGTACAGATGAAGATTACTTTTCAAAACTGTATGAACTCTCAGGGGAATGTGTAAACACCCCTGTCTCTTTGAGAAATGAGCACGGGGACAGACATTTTCAAGATTTCTCTGCTGCAGACGTACACTATCCTCATTAACAGGTCTGGGGGCCCGGGGGGCTACGGCACTTAAGTGTCCGACTCTCGATTTCAGCTCAGGTCATGACCAGGGTGGTGGGATCGAGCCCCACGTCAGGCTCTGTGCTGAACATGAAGTCTGCTTAAGATTCTCTGTCCCTCTCCCCTTTTTGTGTTCTCTCTCTAAAATTAAAAAAAACAAACAAACATTTTTTTAATTAAACAAAACAAACCATATTGAGCTGACCATTAGGTATCTATTTTTTTTTTTTTAAGTTTACTCATTCATTTTCAGAGAGAGAGAGCACGAGCAGGGGAGGGGCAGAGAGAAAAGGAGGGAGAGAATCCCAAGCAGGCACCAGGCTGTCAGTGCAGAGCCAGATGCGGGGCCTGAACTCATAAACCGTGAGGCATGACCTGAGCCAAAATCAACAGTTGGACACTCAACAGACTGAGCCCCGCACGGGGCCGGCAGGTGTCCACGTTTAAGAAATGTGAATACTTACCATGTCCCCACACAGGGGTCAAGTAGGTGGTTCATGATCAAAACAGCTATTTGGTGAAGAAACTTTTTCACTGAACGTAACCCCATCTTTATCACCTTTAAGGAAACATATTCTCAACACCCCCGTAACAGTAGCTAACGTCAGAGGAAGAGCATGTGACAAAGGACGAAGTCCTCCCCCCCCGTCACACAGAACACCGCCATCAGAAGCGTGAGGACGCAGGAAGAAACCAGACACCCACGAACCGGTGCCAGCTTTGTGTGAGGTCCTGAACCGCATGGAGACGTAAGCCCACAAATATGTAATTTTCAAAGGTTTCAACATCAATGCTCGATTTTTCTTTCCCATTAGTTACCAGCAACTGAATGTAAAAATTCTCCACAAAATCTTTCACCTGTGTCTCCATCACTACAATCACACTGGCAGCAGAAGGAACCAGAAAGCAGACCCACCAGAGAGAAAAGGCAGGGCACACGGCCCCCCGCTCCCGGCTGAGCGCCCGTGCCCGGCTCCCGCGGCCCCGCACGCCCTCCCGCCTCACCCCGGCCCTCCCAGAGCCCCGCCCACCACCGGCACCGCCAGCACCCTCCCGGGCCGGCAGCCGGGGTCGGCCCAGCGTCCCCAAGAAGGTCACGGCCAAGACTGGGCACCGCCCGGGGTGCAGGGCGGCCCGTTCTGGCGGCAACGGTCTACCGCAGAGGCGCACGGTGCGGCTCGGGGCTGCCGTGAGCACCTGGTAGAAGTGGGTCAGTATCCGCAGCTGCGAGCACATCTTCGGTATCGATTCCCGAAACTCTTGGACCCTCCTGTTCTCTTCCTCCTCCTCCGCTGCCGTCATTCCCCAGCGGCCCTGAAGAACGGGAGGGGCCAGAGTAAATACAGCACGGGGGCGAGGGGCCGCCAGGGAGCGCCAGGCTGGCAGGCGGGGGGCGGGCGTGGGGCTGTGCTGCCGCTGAGCACGGTCACCCCTGGAGGCCGAGTGGGCACTTGGTCGCTTTCCAATTATCAGGACACTTGGAAATACTCTCTCTCAGTACAGACGAGCACAGGGAACCCGCTCGCGTTCAGGGCTATGTTCTCACACCGTGTGACAAGTGGCACCTGCCATACACGTCCAGCTAAGCGCCTCCAGCGCTCGGCAGCGATGCCGTGCCAGACCCCACACCCCCGCATCGCTCTGCGCTTTCCTGACATGGGCAGCACGCGTGAAAGGGGAGCCGACGGGCCCAAAGTAGTGGAGCCACTGGCCCTTGACCTCGGCGGGAATGCTTCTGGCCATTTCTCCTAAGCCCGTGGATCTTTCTGCACTAGAAACAGATCTACTTCTATTTTAAAAGATTGTTCTTAATCAATGGTGAGTCTAACTAAAGGCCTTTTCTGCCGGCCTGTATAGGAATCAATGTAGGAATTTTTTTTTTTTATCAGTGAGAATACCTCACCGTAACAATGATGAAATGTTAGCTTCTCTTCTGGCTCGTCTTTCCGTGACCCTCAGGAAGCTTCAGCACATCACCCTGCCTGTTCGGATGCAGCCCGCCGCGTGCTACCTGTGTGCTGTGAGGCTGCGGATGCAGCTGCCTGGCTCCACTCGCTGACGACCCATGCCCCCCCACACCCCGTCCTCAGTTGGGAGCTAATGGCCCCAGAAGGCGGAAGGGCTGCTTCTGGACGTTATTCTGCTCACAAGTGGCCGTGGCGAAGCGCACACCGTCCTGCTCCCTGCCACACGTCTACGGTGAGTCCCCAGGGTTTACGTTACTCAACTTCCTTCTTGCTGTGCTCTCCTTTCTGCACGCGCTGCCCTACATATTTTCACATAAATTGTAGAATTTATCATTTCCTACGGGGGGAAAAAATTGAAGGCCTACAAAAACCCCAAAACTGTTGGGATTAGAACCAGGATGGCACTGACTCAGTTCTTCAGCTCATGGACACAAGATACTCCACTTAATCTAGGGGCCCTTTATGATCTCTGTGATGCGAGGGTTTGCAAAGGGCCATGGAGCACGCCGCGTGGGGCCTGGGGTCCGCCCAGTCTACACGGCCCCTGCGCCTTCACCTCTGTCTCAGCCTCCCGCTCCCGGCTGAGCGCCCGTGCCCGGCTCCCACAGCCCCCGCACGCCCTCCCGCCTCACCCCAGCCCTCCCAGAGCCCCGCCCACCACCAGCACCACCAGAACCCTCCTGGGCCGGCATCCGGGGTCCGCCCAGTGTCCCTGGGAATATCACAGTCAAGACTGGGCACCGCCCAGGGTGCAGGGCGGCCCGTTCTGGCGGCAACAGTCTACTGCAGAGGCGCACAGTGTGGTTCGGGGCTGCCCACTGTCCAGAGGGCATGTGCTCTTAGTGGCTGCGCATTTTCCACGGTAAATAGGATCATAACACAAATTTTAAGGAAATACTTAAAACTAAAACTAATCAAATTGTGTTAACTGAAAAACCTGTCACCTAAAAAGAAGCACCCTGAAAAAGCAAAAAATGATACAGATCATAGCAAATAAAGAAATGTCATAAACAGCCAAACTTGCTCAATAAATCTTCACAATCTAAGGTCACGAAGGACATAAACACACGTTAGTGAGGTCACTGAAAACAGCCACAAGTGCAAGATTTCAGGTCCCACGTGGACACACGCGTCCACCAGCTTCAGGGAACACGGCGACGCAGAGCCCAGTACCTCCGTCACGGGGTTCCCATGGGTGCTGTCGTTATTTACTTTCACGACAGGAGGACAGCGATGCGCCTCTGGGCTCCACATGCAGGTAGGCACACAGGGTCAGGGAACATCGCCTGTCGTATTCATGATTATGTGGCAGTGAGCTCACTCTTAAACCTGGTAAGCCCCTGGTATCAAAGCCATACCTCGATCTCGTGCTGCTTCTTCTTCTCCTCGAACTGCAATCGCCTCTGTAGCTCTTCCAGAGCCGCTCTATAAATCGCATCTTGAGTGTTCTGAAGTTCGATGATCTGATCAAACACGGCTCTTAGTTGATTTAAAAGTGCCTGAACAGGAGACAAAGGTTTTTCTTTTAATGACGTGCTCATTCCTGAGTTGTCCAAAGAACACGAGTGAGCAGTAAAAAGACGTTATAAAACAAGATACCAACTCACACACTCAAAGGGCTCTGCGCCCGTCCATTCACACGTACCGAGCACACATGGCGCAGCGCGGTGTCCTGTGTCACCCGCCCCCTCAGAGCACAGCGTGCGCCACCGCGCGGCCCCAGAAGTGAGATACCCCGAGGGGCAGAAAGGACAGGAGAGCAATTCCGTCCTCTCCACTGCCCGGAGCCACACACACCTAGAGGGGACACAGGGGACAGGAGGAAGGAGGACCTTAGGGAGACAAGAAACAGATTCAGCACGGTTTTTAGAAGCCAGTTGGTAGCAGGCACGCATGGACAGTCCCACACTGCAAGCCGCCAGCGTTCGGACCCAGCGTCTCCTCACGCTGCACAGCGTCCTCCACAGGCACCTGTGGGGACGGTGGGGGGGGGGTGGGCTTGAGGCCCAACAAACACAAACACGGGAGGTCTCTCGTGGATGGACAACGGCGCCCCACGACTGAAGGGGGGGATCTACTCGACCCTCCGCCAGCTTCGAGTTTTAAAAAACCCATTAACAATTTGAAAGGAAGAAAATGTTGAAATCATGGGGAAAAAATCGTGTTAAAACGTAACAGCCGCTCACAATTTATACAAAGCATCTAGCGAACTGGACTCAGGGCCCTCCACAATCTGACCAAGGTCCCAGGACAGCTCCTGGAGACAGTGGGGAAAGAAGAAAACGTGTCCTGAGAGTCGGGAATGAGGTACAGAGCCTGCCCACGCTCCCAGCTGACCAAGCTAGCAGCTAAGTCAGAAAAAGCAGAAAACGTACCCTGTGGAAAAGAAACCCAACTGATTTTCCCTATAAAAACAGGACCTAAGGGAATCTAGAAACTGCTGGGATACAAAAGTGGATACAACAGACCAGCCAAACTGCACACGTGTAGCAACAACCCACCAGGGTCGTGCAGGGTGTTCTGGGAGAAGATGACAGACTCTACGGAGAAGCAGACGAGAAGCCCAGAAAGCAGAGGGGTGCTGAGCTCGCGGGGGGGCCCAGCCGACCGCTGCCGGAGAAGGTGTTCGGGTTAGTGGGGACGTGAGCAAGGCCACGGTCACGGCACTGTCCGCGGATGCACCGCACCCACTCAAACACGGCCCGCGAGGGCTGCTACCCCCAGGCACAAACCTCACTACTGTGTAGCCACCGCAGGGGTGAGGACGCCGGATCCACGACCAACACTAGACTCACCATAAGGCTGCTCATTCTCTCGCTTAATAACAAAAAAGCAAAACAAAAGATGGACTTGGGAGCAGCTAACTACTGTACGAGGAGACTGGGTGCTTTTTCTTCACTCGGTGTGAGGAGGCCTGTGTCAGCAGTCTGCTCGCAGAGCACGGCCTCGACCGTGTGCTCTGGGCTCCTATTGGTGAGCAGAGTCAGGTGCCACTCAGGACCTTCCTCAGCAACGTGGAGGCGAGGGTCACCTGTGCACGCACGCACCCGCAGGGCTGTGCAGGCAGCAGACAGCCTCGTTCTCACAAAGGGAGGAACCAAAAATACACTGGATTTTCCTAACAGATTGTTCAACTCTGTTCTATGGATTTGGTTCCTTAAAAATCAAAACCTCTACTGATTATTTTAAATCATCAAATTAAAAGTAAAACTAGGGGTGCCTGGGTGGCTCAGTTGAGCATCCGACTTGGGCTCAGGTCATGATCTCGCGGTTCATGAGTTCAAGCCCCACATCGGGCTCTGTGCTGACAGCTCGGAGCCTGGAGCTGCTTCGAATTCTGTGTCTCCCTCTCTCTGCCCTGCTCCCATTCATGCTCTCTGTGTCAAAAATAAATTTAAAAAGACAAACATTAAAAAAAACGTTTTAAACAGAAACCAGCAGCAAAGGGGCCATTTCAAAAATGATATTAAGTCATTAGCGCACTGACTCCTTCACGAAGGGACTCGGGACCAGCTTACGTGTGAACTTTCCATGAGCGCGAGTGGGTGTGTTACGGATAAACATCCTCCCCTTGGGCTCTGCTGTCCCTGGGAATCTTCTGGAGGCAAGACGTGTGACTGTTCCGTACACAAGTGTCGCGTGTGGGGGTGGCCTAAACCGCACGCTGCCAGACGCTGACAGCTCATTTCCCGCTAGACCGAGGTTCATGTGCGTGAAACCCTCAGAAGCTCACACACCAAGCCTGCCCACCTGCGATCTCCATAACACACAGTATGGCTCTGAACCACTTAATGCAGGTAACTACCTACCACGCACGCATCAGGCTCTGTGAGGGGTGGTTTCTGTCAATGACGCCATTTGCCTCCCTCAGACCTACATGAGAGAGGGCGTGTGCTCTGTGTTACACAGAGGAGGGCGGTGGCAGCCAGGGTGGCACAATGCGCAGCCGTGCCGGGACTGCAGCTGCGCCGAGCACGAGCCCCCAAAGCACCGCACTCTCCTTGGGGGGACTGCTGGCTTAGCTGAATGCAGCCTCCACGAGCCCATAACTCCTCGGAAGTCACCCATTTAGTGTAAAAATGTGCCTGACGTTTTGGCTCTTTCGTCATAATAAATTTGTTTCAACTGAAAACGTGTTCCCTGCTTCCCCAGATGTCCAAATAAAATAAAAACTCCAGAAGGTTTGGCCACATAAACAACCACTTTCAGTACAGGGGCCCACAGGGAAGCGACACCAGTAACCGAGCCGGGGTCACGTAACCAACGGAACACACAGAGTTCAGCTTAGAGTTCGTCTAGACAAACGCCCTGTTTTCCGACTCGTGCAGCCAGACGCTGTCTCCATGAAGGCACACACAGGAACGGCCCCTGTCCCTAGAGCGCGCGAGAAGGCACAGCCCCCACTCGCACGTCCTCACGCCCTCTCCTCAACTTGTAGGCTGCACCACACAGCCACTGCTCGTGGTTCACCTGTGTCTTCTGAGCCCGAGAGGATGTGGGCGGGTGAAAGCACTCAGGTAGATGGGTGAGAATACACGGGCGGATGAGAGCACACGGGCAAGTGTGAGCACACGGGCAGGCGTGAGCACACAGGCGGGCGTGAGCACACGAGTAGGTGAGAGCACACGAGCAGGTGAGAGCACACAGGCAGGTGTGAGCACAGGGGTGCATGAGAGCACACGGGCAGGTGTGAGCACACAAGTAAGTGAGAGCACACGGGCGGGTGAGAGCACACAGGCAGGTGTGAGCACAGGGGTGCATGAGAGCACACGGGCAGGTGAGAGCAAATGAGTGAGAGCACACGGGCGGGTGAGAGCACACGGGCAGGTGAAAGCACAGGGGCGGGTGAGACCACATGGGCAGTGAGAGCACACGGTCGAGTGTGAGCACACGGCAGGCGTGATCACACAGGCAGGTGTGAGGACAGGGGTAGGTTAGAGCATGGGGGTGAGAGCACGTGCTGTACCAGCTTCATACACATCTCGGAGTGTGTTCTCGTTCTGACTCTGATTGGAAACGGTCCACCTTGAACACCAAATGATAAGTTACCACTAATGTGGGCACGTGGCCGTCTCTAATATGTCCCTGTGACCGGAGCCCGCCACGAGGCCAAGCTACTCATCTCGTGTAGGCGTGTCCGTCTTACCCTGGAGTCGGCGTCCAGCAGGCAGCGGGAGATGATGGTGTCCAGGAACACCTCGTGCGCCGCGATGATGTGGTCCAGGTCCTGGGCCTGCTGCACCTTGTTCCACAGCTCATCCCAGGAGCACTCAAGCACCTAGGAAACGACGTGAGACTCGGGACCAGGTCATGTCTTCCTGGTGTAGGGCCCCTGACAAAAGTCACCACACAAAACCGTAAGACGCGACTAATCTAAAGTCACAGGGCGCTCAGGAAGTACCTCGAACGTGATGTAATACTGCATCTGGTGGATGAAGTGGACCATCTCGGAAGCCAGGATGTGGCAGTGGTGCAGCACCCCGGAGAACTCTGCAAGAGAGCCACCGAGCTGCGGTCACGAGCGCGCACCACATTCGGACGACACACCCCCTCCCACCCGTTCGTCTGCAATCTCGCTTTCAAAAACGAAGAATCACTGGCTTTAACTCTTAACCCCTTAAAATAGGGAGCAGTCTTTCCGTAATCGATTTCCATGCCATCCAAGCTACGCAAGGGTTCAGCCACCTGATCAACAGCATCTCATTACTTTACAGAGAGCAAGGACCTGATAAGGAACAGCATAAAACAAAAGAACTGCATCTGAAAATTGAGTAGACAAATTTTGTTTCACTAGTGTGAACACACGCTCAATTCTGTGGCTTCTTTCCAACACGTGTGGCTGCTGCTGCCAGCAATCTGGAGACAAAAGTGACATTTCCTGAAGGGCCCGAATGGTACCTCGTCACCAAAGAGACGCGTGAACTGGGAGGGACATGGGCCCGAGCCCAGACTCTGCTTCTGTTCTTTGCCAAGATTATAAAACCATCAAAAAGCTTGAAGGTCACCACAGAAGAGCCGTTCTCCACCCACACTCAATTTTCTGTTCCAAGCCCCAACCAGAGGGCTGGGGGTGCCACGGCGGAGGAGGGTTCGGTCAGTGGGACCATCAGAGGAATGGTTTAAGCACATTTATTTTTGTTTCCACCCCAGATGCCTTTAATTGCGTAGTGAAGAGTCACCGCTGCACAGTTATTCGAGAAGCCATCCCTGTCCCTTCTTCATAAGAGAGTACTGAGGAAGTGAACACACCACGTGGAAAAGCAGTGGTGCTGCACTCCTTTCTCCAGGTTAAGGGGTACGTGACACATGGGGACATGGACGGCCTGGGTTAGCATGCAGGCCCCCTCAGGGGACGAGCCTGTGCTCCGAATCCCGCGACGCCTTCCCTGCCGGTGGGAGCCTGCCGCCCGTGGCTGTGCCAACAGTGTCGTGAAGAACAGGGAACGTGAGCCTGGGAAGCCCTTGGTCAGCAAAATCCCAGCGGGGCTAAGACGTCCGTCTCCTAGTCCCAGCCGTTTCCCTACACTGCTTCCGGCGTAACAGAGCTAACAAAACGCTGTTTTAAGGGGGCCTCGCCCATATGACGGTGTAAGCAAGCTTCTAGAGGAAACGACATGCATTTACAGCTCCGTTCTGGGCTGTGCCCCCTCCCCCACCACCCTTCCCCGGACACCTGTGTATTCACACCTGCACCACACATACGGTCCTTCACACGGCATCTGGGACAGCACCCAAGTCTTACTGTGATGCCGAGTCTCTGGGTCCTCCCTCTAGTGCACCTGCGCCGTGTCCGGACACGTGCCACTCTGTACGGACCCAAGTGACAGCCGTCCGCTTGTCCTACAGCCTTGTGGGAAGGCATCTCCGCGTCCCAACACTCCTCTCCACACTCCTCTCCACAGAGAGGCTAACGTCAATGATGGACGGCAGATTCCGTCGCCTGTCCCGAGGGACGTGCACGAAGGTGGGGAGCAGGCCCCGGTGTGCTACGGGAGCACAGAGATCCGTGGCACCCCCGCACCTGCCCCCAGTCAGTGTGCTACACGAACGGGAAAGCTCAGCGGAATGAGCATGCGGGTGTGACTGCTCTTGTCTCCAGCTCTGGGGGTCCCTTAGGGTGTCTGCACTGGGGTCCCGTCCGCCATCAATCCAGCAGTCCTTGGATAACGTGCTGGCTTTTAGTTGCACCTTAAACGACTTTGCGAACACGGTCTACATGTCACACGTGAACTCATAAACCAGGAAGTCGGTCGGGCTTCACACAGCTGACAACATGGTGCCCGTCACTGACTCCACTTCATGGCACGGAGTGACATGGTGCACGATTTCTCCACTGCCAACTTACGAAACTCTCCCGTGTCCCGAGTTGCACTGGCGCTAACCTCAAATTCCTGGCTTTGCATCTCGGCTAGTCATCCACACAGCCCGGAAACCCTGGGCTCCCCGTGCCTTCCTGCCCTCTTGCTGCAGCGGCTTCCTGCCCGCCGCCTCTGCCCTGGGGCCCTCCCGTGGGGAGCCCCCCGCCATGGCCCCAGCGTCACCCCTGGTCATGGCGTCTACACCCTCATCTCTCACCACTCACAGCATCTACACTCTCATCTCTAGCTGATTCCACAGCCCCCAGCGTCACCCCCACTCACACCACCTACACCCTCATCTCTAGTTCAGATCTGTCTCAGGCTACAAAGCAATCCCACAGATGCATCACATTGATTCTTAAAAACACCTCATATTATCATATCTAAAATGGAAGCATTACCCCCAAAGGTGCCCCCCTAGCTCCAGGCAGGGCCCAATCACCCTGCCCTGTGCCCCAGAGCTCCATCAAGTCCATGCACGACCCCTGACCCCGCTGCTGCATCCACCAGGCATCCACCATGGCCACCTCCCCAAAGGATCGCCAACCTCCAACCTTGCCTGTGACACCCATTTTCCTCACTGACACTAGAGGGGCTTTCAGAGCCAAACAAGTCCAAGCATGTCCCACACCCTTGAAAAATATTTAAAGCAACTTCAGGGGCGCCTGGGGGGCTCAGTCGGTTGAGCGTCCGACTTCGGCTCAGGTCATGATCTCACGGTTCCTGAGTTTGAGCCCCACGTCGGGCTCTGTGCTGACAGCCAGCTCAGAGCCTGGAGCCTGTTTCGGATTCTGTGTCTCCCTCTCTCTCTGACCCTCCCCTGTTCACACTCTTTCTCAAAACTAAACATAAAAATATAAATTAAAAAAATAAAACATAATTAAAATATAAATACTTGTATTTTTATGATTGGCCCACAAATAATCCCAAAAACAAAGCCAACACTTGTACAAGGTCCAAAACCACATAAACACAAGGCATCTCTCCCCCTCCCCCCACCCCTCCATGAGAAGCAGTTTCCTGCCTGAAATCAGGAGTGAGGGGTCTCGCCCGTGGCTGATCACTACAGGGCAGGCGGGAACCCCCTCCCCCAGGCTCTGGAAGGGCTGCCCCCGCGCCCCCCAGCTCTAGAAGCGCTGGACCTGCTGTGGGGGCATCTGCAGTGGGAGGCACTTACTGACCTGGAGACGTGCCTTCAACAGCATACAGGGTCATTAAAAATTAAACCAAGTTTCTTTATTTTTAAAGATCCTAATACACTTTCTTCACAATTGCAAACCACCTCCTTCAACCTGTATTGATAACTGATGTTACTATATTCAAAAAGGACTATCAAATTACCCATCTGATTACTTTCTCAAGGCTAAGACTTCAAAGAGCTGGGGAAGAACCAGGGTTTCTCCTGCCTCCTGTGTTCGGAATCCCCACTCACCACACAGGGGCCCCTGCAAGCACCTTCTGCTGTCACCACGCCCCCAGGCAGGCGGCAGTGATGCCCGCACAGGCGCCCTCCAGAGGCAGCTGTGGGACGTGTGTTACATAGCCCAGGAAGTAAGACTGTGGACATCCCACCCGCCATGAGGAAACTGAGGCAGAAGACCAGGAAATCAGCCGTGGCCACGGCCTGGTGCTGACGGGCTACGCGCTGACCCGGGCAATGCCACTCAACACAAGCCTGACCTTGAGAACTTCTGATAAATGTGTAGTTACTGAGGAGTAGCTACTCATCTGCCTGTACAAAAATGGTACACACACAGGGAAACTTTAAAAATACCCACTCGACTTTTAAGTAATCATTTCTGCAGGGCTGGGACACTGTGGACATTCAGATGAGCCACTGTTACATTAAAAAGAGAAGAAAGAGAAGCCGCTGCCACTCACCCTGGCAGAATGCCACAGCAGTCCCGTCCTGACAGGTCTCCCTCGCACGAGGCCCCCCACGTCCACCACCCTCCATTTCATTTCTTATAAGGACCAAAAAGGAGATCATTTTAATACCACCCTCTGGGGAGGAAGGGACATCCATATTCTCTCTTCCCTCAACACACAAAGGTTGAGGTCTCTAAAGGGAGATGGGGGCGACTGGGTGGCTCAGCCGGTTAGGCATCTGACTTAGGCTCATGATCTCCCAGGTTCATGGATTCAAGCCCCGCGTCGGGCTCTGTGCTGACAGCTCGGAGTCTGGAGCTGCTTCAGATTCTGTCTCCTCTCTCTGCCCCTCCCCTGCTCATGTTCTGTCTCTCTCCCTGTCAAAAGTAAATAAATGTTAAAAAAATTTTTTTAAAAATACATGCTCATTTACCTATTTCCTTTTTTTATATATTACTTTAAACAAAAATTTAGTTGCCGCCAATTGTGATACTTTTTTACATTTATTGAATCCCATAACAAAAAAACTCCATACCAATAGAACCAAATCTTTAAACGATTTTGGTATCAAAATCTGCTTTCCATCCAGCTAAATGACAAATATACAAAAACAGGCATAAACATCTTGGTAGACACTATCAAAAACTCCTGTATAAAGCAAATCATTTTCTTTTTGTTTTGTTTTTTTACTTTTTTAATTTTTTTTTAAATTTATTTCTGAGAGATTGAGAGAGAGAGAGAGAGAGAGAGAGAGAGAGACCATGCGCGCGCACACGCTTGAGCAGGGGAGGGTCAGAGAGAGAGGGAGACACAGAATCTGAAACAGGCTCCAGGCTCTGAGCTGTCAGCACAGAGCCCAATGCGGGGCTCGAACCCACAAACCGTGAGATCATGACCTGAGCCGAAGTTGGAGGATTAACTGACTGAGCCCCACAGGCGCCCCCATCTCCCTTTAGAGACACACTGTTGAAATACTTTCTCAAAGGTTTTGACCAAATGAATTTCAATGTGAAAATTTCAACAGTATTGATAACTACAGTTATTTAATATTTGTAACATTAAAATAAACCTGACTATCTAAGAAGTTTTACCACAGCTTTTAATTGTAAAATAATATAAAATACTTTCACATCATGGTTTATGAACCAAAACAAATATTAAAGTGAATCCCAAACAGATTTTAATCAAAACACTAAGTGAACTTTAAATGAGCCAGTGACTTATTAAATAGCTTTCCTTCCTTAAAAAAAAAAGTCCATATGTGAATAGCAGAGTGAGAACAAATGTAATTCTGAAAGAAACTTCATGGTCTGAAAAATCTAACTTGATTCAACTTTCTTTCTGATTTTCAGGAAGTCAAGATGAGCAGTATCACAAAGGAGACTCCTGACAAAAGCCCAATCCAGAAGCCTTGGTGGGGGGGCGGGCGGGGTATGTGGAGAGCCAGGGAGGTGGGGGGGGATGGGGGATGGGGGGACGGGGTGTGGGGACACAGAGAGCCGGGGAGGCGGGGGCGCGGGGATGGGGGATGGGGGATGGGGGGACGGGGTATGGGGACACAGAGGGCCGGGGAGGCAGGGGCGCGGGGATGGGGGATGGGGGGACAGGGGCGTGGGGACACAGAGGGCCGGGGAGGCGGGGGCGCGGGGACGGAGTGGTGGGGGGATGCGGGGACGCAGCATGCAGGCACGAAGGCCCCCATGGCTATGCGGGTTTACCTGGCATGTTCCTCAGGAGCTTGGCGTTGCACATGTGGCTCTTGCGGATGTCCGTGAGGATGTACTCCATCCGCTTCGCCCTCCAGAGGAAGTTAAACACCCTCAGGTAATGGCTCATGCACTCCCGCGTGAACACCTGCACAGAGGCACAGGACAGGCTGATAGCGCTCTGACCTAAGGCGACCCAGGGACCTTCCCGCGACAGGGCTCAGCCTTTCTGCTGCACTTTTTCTGAAGTGCAAAGAAAAGCCAGAGAACACACAATCGACTCTCATAAATTCTCAGCATGACAATAAGCAACTAGACGTTTCAGGAAAGTCTCATCAAACGCCAAGTACAGCGACGATCTGTGTGCTAAGCAGCACGTCGGGCAAACTCACAACAACGAAGATGTTTCGGTACCACTTTCACAGACTGAGAGACGGAGTCTAGGGTCACACAGCCAGTAAGCGGTGTCTGAGGACTTGTAAACGCCATCTAAACCCAGTCAGAAATGTGGACGCTCAACCCGCCGTGCAGGTGTCTTCCACCCCCACCCGCCAGGAGGGACAGGGGAGGCTGGTAAATCTCAAGCCAGGTGGGACTAGAAGATCTGCAGTCTGTAAAGAGGCCTCCAGGCTGTTTTACCACAGGCATCTACTGCTTGTGAAGCCAGTTCACTGCAAATGGATGGTGGTCTCATGCCCTGGGGGCAGGGGATGGGGAGCTTCCCTCCCACAGGGCCACACTTAGCAGATAAGAAGAGGGGACACCTGTTAAGTAAGAATGTCAGACGAATCACAAAAAAATCGTCTAGTAAGTCTGTCCGCCCACCCCCCCCCGCCGCCCCATACTGGTACAGGATTTTCTGCAGACAGTGGCCAAACACACTTCTGACACCAATGTGTGCACAGAAGTGGGCGTGTGTACTCTTTTCTCGGCCCTCAGCAAGGATGCCTCTACATGTGTCAGCAGCTCTGTCCCCGCAGTTCAGAGAACTGGAAACGCCACTCCCAGCAGGGCGTCTGCTCCCAGCAGCTCTGGGCAGGGCACCCAGTGACCGGGCGTGGTCCCGCACGGCCTGTTTATCACCCAAAGCCCAGCTGCGTTCACTCCCTGGGGCCTTTCCTCATGCCCCTCCCTGCCTGCTCCACTCTCCTCCTGTCCCAACCCCGCCTGGCACTCAAGGACACAGGCCACACACCCTTCCCTGGCCCCACCACTGACCCCCTTGTCCAGACAGGACATCTTTCACTTGACCCCTACAATTTTAGCATTTAGCTGTAGACTGCTTTACTCTTGTCTTATTTTTATGTATCCTTGGCTCTTACGTTACAAGGACTACCTGTTTATTCTTCTGGATGCCTCTGGTGCCAGTATTCAGCAGTGCTCAGTACTGACTGACGGCTGCACTGTCTATACTGGACGGGCCAGGACCTGCTCCAAACAGACTCTGAGACACACCAGGGCTGTTTCGGGGATTATGTTTTTGCTGTGCTGCCCGCACCACTGTGTCTGCAACTACAGAAATAAGGGGTGACTGGATTAAATAATCTTACAAATCAACCACAGAAATCTTTGCTGAACAAATGCTGCCTCGTGGAGATCCTCCTGGGGCCGGCCTCCCAGAGCGCACTTCACGTGACCCAACGTACGAGCATCGTGTACTCAGATCTGTCGGGAGCAGGCGCTATTCCAGAGAAGACACTCCCCTACCCCACCGTGTTCACATGGGCAGATACCCCCCACGGTTAGCCCTGCTGTGGGCCTGGTCTTTCAGTTCACTCCTGTGCACCAGGACGTTCAGCAGAATGTGAAATAAGCTTCTGCCATCTCACCTAACACCCTGGAGATCAAGGACACAAGTCAGTGGGTTTTATGCTGCCCAATATCCCAGTGAGAAGATTACAGATAACCTCTCCACATCCTCCTTCCCAGTATTAACAAGAAGCTAAAATTACACTGTTACATAAGATGAAACTGTGTGACTAAGATATGTACTCGTTATAATTAAATTATACGCAAAAATAGCAATCTCAATGAGACTAGAAAGGGAATGAAAATAATACTGTAAATTTAATAAGGAAGAAGCAGAAAATCCATCTTCTTCCAAAATTTGACTCTAGAAGTATATTTTTAAGTAAAAGAATCCATTTAGCTGAAAACATGACAATCTGGGACACCGGCAAACCCCATAACTGGAACAGCAAAGATGGGATGCACAAGGCCCCACCCCCACAGCACCCCGCACCCCCCACCCCCACAGCACCACCAGGGTCACACGGCCCCGCACCCACCCAGTGCGGCCCCCATGCACGCCCTCCACCTGCTGGAGCTGGCACGAAAGTCAAGACGCGTTAGCCATAGACAGAGATACACCCCAAAGTTGATTTTTAAATAAATCTAGGATATAAACTTCTTCTCTTGACTCTTTCGATTAGAGTTTACAAAAATCTAAAATTTTAAAAACATACTACATAACCAACTGTTTGTACACAAGGCATGCAAGTTTAACTCTGCGGGTTTTGTGAGTCTGCAGTATCGTGAAATAATTAACTGTACATATGAGTACATTCAACTTGTCTAATACTCGAGGCACTCACGTTCTATGAAATAACAAACACAAAGGCCTCTACACTGGCATCTATTACACTGCGAAAAAATTATATGCAACGTAGTCAGTATTAACAAAGCAAATAACACTAAAGCTTCTGATTTAAATAACAGCGTACACAACAGAATATTTTAACAAATAAGTGTTGGAAAGTATTCAGGATATAAGTCAAAGGAGAAAAAAACGAATCTCAGTATGACAAAAAATTAAATCTAAGAGCAGTTATGCATTTAAAATACAGCAGCTCTGATCTGGTGCAGCTTAAACACTGGGAATGTGTGTGAAACAAGCACACCAGGAGCAATCGGCTCACGGCAGACACTAGAGCCACGTGTCCCAGGCACGGCCGCTGCCCCAGAGTGAGAGGCAGCCGACAGCCCAGCATGGACAGCACTGGTCTCTCATGGCCTGGGAGAGACCTCACTCTGGGAGGGACCGGGACTTTGCTCGAAGCAGCGCCAGCACCAAGGACAGCGGCAGCGCAGGCACAGGGAACGTCAGACTTGAGGTCTGAGTGGCACAGGTGTGACCGCCTACAATGCACATCTTCGTCCCTCTCTGTCTGTCCTGAATCAGCTACTGTGGTCTAAGGATAATGGGGCCCAAGGAGCAATCCATTTCCACATGCCTGCTGAACTCTAGGATATTTGTAGGAATTCGTAAAATACCAGAGCATTTCAGAACTCGCTAATGACTATCTAAGACCACACAGGATCCTGGCTTTCGTATTCCTTCAGGGGTCTGCCCAGAGGTCAAGTGCTGGCCTTCAGGAGAAGCTTTGAGAGAAGAGAGCCCGTTCTAAAACAACAAAAGAGTAAGCAAGCTGAAGGGCCACAGGGACCATAAAATCGCCCAGCATGGCCTTACCGTGGCAATAGGCCCATCCACGTGGTAGTCCAGGCTGAAAACGTCCCACCCGGTGTCACCTGGAGAGACCTGGGGACAGAAACAAACACTGTAGGCCCTCCTGCCAATGCTGCACTTACTGCAAAAAAATCTGTCGTCAAAGAAAAAGCAGTAAAATAAAGCCCAATTTTTGAAAAGCACTCAGTACATATGAGTGTTAGTTCCAGGATAGCAGAGATCTGTCTGCCAACCCTTGAGCCCTCAGCATTTAAGCCATGGGCACAGAGATGCTCTAAGAATATTGTGGAATGAATGGTGTGCTGTGGGGTTTCATTTATAGTGTTTATTTTATTTTACTAAAGACATTTTTTTAAATGTTTATTTTTGACAGAGAGACAGACTGTGACTGGGGGAGGGGGAGAGGGAGACACAGAATCCGAAGCAGGTTCCAGGCTCTGAGCTGTCAGCATGGAGACCGACACAGTGCTCAAACCCACAAACTGTGAGATCATGGCCTGAGCTGAGATCATGAGCTGGTTGTTTAACAGACTAAGGCACTAAGGTGCCCGTGATGTATTTTGAATAAATTTCACAAAATCGTTTAAAGATTTGTCACCAGTTTTTTATGACAAGAACTCACTGCCTTATATGTCCTGCATCCTTTAATAGTGAACATTTAGGGGCGCCTAGGTGGCTCAGTTGGTTAAGCATCGGACTTTAGCTCAGGTAATGATCTCACATCAGGGCTCAGAGCCTGGAGCCTCCTTCAGATTCTGTGTCCCCTCTCTCTGCCCCTCCCTTGCTCATGCCATCTCTCTCTCTCTCAAAAATGAATTAACATTAAAAAAAAAAAAGTCAACATTTAAAAAAAGCCAACAAGCCCTGCTAATGGTCCCTCATCACAGCTACACAGTGTGATGTTTCTAATACTCGTTCCCCTCAGAAAACTCTTCTATCAAACTGAAACCAAAAACATCTATTTTTCATAAACGTTATTATCACATGTCATCCCCATGCCTCCTGCAACATTACCACTAACGGGAGCTAAGACTCACCCCACAATGTGCTACCCCGAGCACCATGGTGAGCGCGCGTGTGCTCTGCCCGTGGAGCCCGCCCCATGGGGCCCTGGCCCGAGGAGCGGACGGAGAGGCCCAGCGTGCTTAGAGACGCGGCCCTTGCCCCAGCAGCACAGTGCAGGCTCCGGCCGGCCTCCGGCAACGACTCCCACCCGGCAGCTCAGACCAGATGCACGGCCGACGCCGCAACGCTGGTGGGAGCGCTGGCCCCGGGAGCTCGCGGCGCATGCCGGACCAGGGCCACAGTACCTCCAGCAGCCTCACGTCCAGTCTCTTGAGGATCTCAGGGCTGTCGAACTGGGCGTTGGTTGCTCTGACGGCCGTTTCAAGAATTCCAGTCAAGTTGTGTTGATACAAAGTCGTAGCTGGACGGACAAGTTCTGGTCTTCACAGATTTTATAAGAATAAAAGATGTTACTTGAATTCTTGAAGAGCTTTGTAAAAACTTAAAATTATAAAAAGTTCAAATTACAAAAACTATAAAGACAAACCACTACAACATAGGAACAAAAGTTCGACAAAATTAACTGTAAACAGGATTTTACCAAGTATTTTGGGGAGTAAAATATTTCTTTAAATCTCAAAAAAAAATTAATTTTGATTCTGCTTAAATTGGAAATACTTACACGTGCCACATACATTAACAAATCAAGTTTCCAACCCAAGTCTAGCCTGAAGTAACGGACACAACCGGAAGCTCCTGCACAGACCCAGTGGGCAGAGGTCTTCGTTCAATCAAACAAGGAGACACAGGGACGTCATGATTCTAGCGGCTGAAAACTGCCGCGTTATCAGCAAACACTTCCTTAGGCTACTATGGCCCGGGCTGCTAAGCAGGAAGCCAATGTTCCTGGGCGAGAGCGGGCCTGGTTAGGAACGCAGCCCGAGGGGAGGGGGAGTGGAGGAAGGGGGCCCTGGAGCCAACATGCTGCGGCACGCGAGTGCGCCACCTGAGGACCACAGCCAACACCCCGTGTGACACACAGGGCAGTCGGTAAAAGAGCAAATCCTGCAACTCCTCATCACGAAGAGAAAAGGGTTTTTTTTCCTTTTTTTTCTTTTCTTTTCATGTGTCTGTGTGAGAAGTTGGATGTTAGCACAGCCTGTTGTGGTGACATTTCACAGCACAGGCTCCAGACATCGGGCAGTACGCCTTACGCTCACCCAGTGATCTAGGTTGACTACTGCTCAGTAAAAGTGGGGAAAGGCCTGCCAATCACCCCCAGGTGTGCACGGAAGCTCTGCGGCTTCGGCCTCTGTGGCAGTAAAATGTGGGGCAGAGACCGATGAAGAAGGGCCACGACGTCACCGCTCAGAGAAGTCTGAAGCAGATGGGAGATCAGGGACACCCCCCCTCTTAAAACCACAAACTTCAAACATGCTTTCAAGAAACAAATCTGATTACGAGATGCTCTAAACACCAGAACTGAGCATAAGGCAAGTACGTTCAATTGGCTACATGGCCTTATTGGTAGTGTGATGGGCACCGTGAGCGTGGCCTCACCTACAAACCATAAGAGCTGCCTTGCCCACCTCAACCTGCACACTGCACCCCAGGCCAGCCCGCCCCACATGCTCCTGTGAACCCCCATTGAAGCCAATGGCATCTCCCCTCCAAATTGTTCTGCCCGCCTAGCTTCCGGCAGGCCCTGGGCTGGAGCTCAGCACTCAGCTCACCTGAGGCCCCTTCTCCGCTCAGGGCAGACATGACACTCCCACAAGCACCTGTTTCACAGCTCACCGACCCCTCTCGAGCTGACGGACACGGTCACCCACCAGCACGAGCAAGTAGAAGGTCAGTGACCACAGTCAGTATGCCCCGAACTCACTACTTTTCACACTGAAGACAGGCTTCAGGGCAGAAGAGGGACTGCAGGGGCCTGTGTCTGGACCAGGGGCCTAGGTAGGAATGCACATTCCTGGTCCCCCGCTCCCCCCGAGGGACCAAGCTCCTCCGTGGGCAGCCCAGGGTTTCCCTCAGCCAGCTCCCTCGGCAACTCGGAGGCCCAGGACAGCTGAGGACTAGGCCACCGAGCCACCGAACCACCGCACCATCACACAGGTAAGACTGGAAGGCCACGCGCTCTTTCAGGCTCCAAAAGGAACATCCTAAGACCCCAATCTCCATCCCCGAAGGCCGAGCAGGCATCTCCCACACACCCGCGGGGAGCCCGGCTGCACCGAGGGTAGGTGTGTCTAGAGCCAGGGGTGGGACGGACAGGCCCTGCTGCAGGGCCGGGGAGGGACCTACATCTAATTCTGGGATGGAAGATGCTGTGAAAAATGTCACAGAACAAAACAAAAATAGTAATTCTGTTTTACGGTTTTTTCCCCCAAGAAACAATTTAAACTACTAATATGGGGAAAAGTTCAGCCTGAAAACACACAATTTTGGGGCTTGTTTGAAACAGGCACTAAGTGTGACCACACCGCACATGCCTCAGACACTAGGCCGTCAGTACTACGGCGCCCACAAGGCCCACGGGCTGGTCTGTGAGTAAAGCACAGAATAAGGGAAAAAAAAAAAAAAAGGACTTTGACGTGACAATCTTGATTTCATCAAAAATTTTTCCAAAAATCTTCAGATTTCATCTTACCAATATGTCTTCTAAGAATTTAGCCAATTTCCCCCTAATGCCATTTGCTTTTTAAACAAGAGCTGAGGAGCCCCCATCGCGCTCAGGGACGTGCGCCCTCAGGGACGTGTATTCAGGGCTCCCCAGGGGCTCCTTACTTGAGCAAGTCCATCAGGTGCCTGATGAAGTCGCCCTGGCCCAGCAGCAGGTAGCGCCTCACAGCCTGCATGTGGTCCAGCAGGCTGTACTTTTTGTTGAGAACGTCCAACAGGTACTTGCTGGTCTCCAAGTAGGCGGCATCAATCTTCCCCCGAAACGCACTCTCCAGATCTGTGAACAAATCCGCAGCTGTAAAGAACAAAACAAGCACAGACGTATATAACTCATATTTTAAGATAAAACTACCAGCTCCACGCACAAACATCACCGCCCACCCCACAAAAGGCCCCGGCGACCACCCAACGGCTGCGCGTACAGGAAGGTGAATGAGCCCCAAGCCCAAGAAACCAAAGAGGCCGTCGTCTGCTGGACGCGCCGTGGGCGCCTGCGCTGTGACCCACGAGAGGCCCCGACCAGTTTGTCACTTCCTGGGCCTGAAGGCCAATTAGCTCGGACAGCACTACTAAAGCAACATCCCGCTGAAACGCTCTGGTGAGGGATGGGGTACGGGGAGGGCCGGTGCTGCGCGGCCCACGGGGTCTGGGGAATGAACACGGTGAGCGAGCTCCGAGCTGCCGCCTCTGTCACAGGCCGGGTGCTCCGCGCCCACCCGTCAGGGCGTCAGAGAGCACCCTTGACGGAAGACCTGTGGGAGGCTTTCCAGGGCACGCGAACGAGAGCGGACTGTCACCAGTGAAAAAGCCTAACTCGCGGTCGTAACACAAAAAATTGAATGGTTCCATGGTTTTACGCCGAGAAGAGAGAGCACCTGGAGGTCCCACACACCGGAACTTGTGAACGCTGGCTTGCATCTCTGTGGCACAAAACAGCTGACAAAATGAAATACCTGATTTTTCTTCTTAACCATAACAACGCTTGGGCTGAACACCCGATGCTGAGTCCAAGGTTGAGAAAAGGCAGCACGCTTGTTCAAGGTTAAGCCAGAAGAGGCAAGGCCTTTAGCACGGCGTGGCCTGGCCGTGGCCTCGCCTACCAAACAGCACAGGACGCCGGCGCTGGTTTTGCTCAATGTCCAGCACAACTGTCCCGTTAAGGAAAACCTGCTTCAGTGCTGCTGCCGCCCCAACCCCACCTGAACGTGGGCGTCCACAGCGAGGGAGCAGCCGCTACTTTCCACAAAAGGTGGGGTCCAACGACAGTAACAGGCCCGGCGTCACATTTACGGCGGGGCGGGGGGGGTGGGAAGCGGGTGGGTACCGCCGTGGACCTCGCAGCGTTACAGAAGCAAACCTCGCGCCCCGGCAGCGTGCTGACCCGGCCACCGCCAAGTCACGAAAGGCTTCCATTCCGAAGAGGAGGTCCGACGCTAACCGACCTTCACCCGCGGCCTCTCAGGAAACGCACCTCCTTGTTCCTAATGGCTCAGGCGGCCCTTACATTCTTGTCTGTCCAAATATCCAACATTTTTCACATTTAAGAAATATAAATTTGGCTTTTCCCCTTGCTTTTGTGTTACTAGCAGTTTTCCAAGCCTCGTCATCTCCAACCTTCCCAAGCCTGTTCTAAGCCTGACAGCAAAGAAAGCCATGTCCGGCAGGCGTGGCGGGGCCCAGGGTCACCGCTGTCACCGTGGCCCAGAGCAGCCCCCGGGCCTCCCGCACCAGGCGTCACCGGAGGCCTCTGTCCTTTCCTTCACGGGCGAAAATCCAGGTCTGTGGGTCTCGGCACAGCAGCGGGGCCGCACGCCGCACGCCACACGCCGCGGGGCCCGGGCTGGCCGTCCCCTCCGCGCCGAGCAAGGGGGGCGCTGTCAGCACCGTTCTCCTGGCCCCTCCTCGTGGTCCTTCCTCTTAAACACACGGATTTCCCCAAAACCTCTCTCTCTATTTTAGGAACCGAACTGCGATCTATGAATGCTTAGAGTCTACGCTAATTTGTGTGTGTGACTCACACTTGGGGCAGGGACAGGGAGGGCTGCAGCATCTGCTGCGCCCGGGACCCCGTCCTTAAGCAGCAGGGTGACACAGGCACTTCCCAAAGCCCTACACTGGCCCTGACCTTAACCTGGATTTTCTTCTTTTTTTAATGTTTATTTATTTTTGAGAGAGACAGAGACAGAGAGACAGAGTGAGTGGGGTGGGTCAGAGAGAGAGGGAGACACAGGATCTGAGGCCGGGGCTCGAACCCACGAACTGTGAGTTCATGACCTGAGCTGAAGTCAGCCACTTAGCCGACGGAGCCACCCAGGTGCCCCCATCTGTATTTTCAATGTAGCTTTTCGAATGCCCTCTGGACACCTCCTCCAGTGTGTCCTCTGGATACTAAGCATCACTCCACACTGCTGCACCTCACTCATCAGTAGGAAAATGCAAATCAAACCACAACACGGTATCACCTCACGCTTGTCAGAATGGCTAGAATCAAAGACAAGCAACGACAGGTGCTGGCGAGGACAGGGAGAAAAGGGGCCCCCGTGCACTGCTGGCGGGAGTGCACACTCGTGCCGCCACTGCGGAGAACAGTGTGGAGGCCCCCTGAAAGGTTAAAAATGAAACCACGTAGGATCAAGTAACTGCATTTGGTATTTACCCAGAGAAAATGAACTATAGAAATGATCCGTGAAAGTACAGTCTTTTTACCCAGAGAAAATGAAAACACGGATTCTACAACGTGCTCGCACCCGTATGCTCACCGCACACTGTTTAGGACACACAAGATACGGACGCAGCCCGGGTGTCCGGCGACTGGCGAAGGCTCAGGAGGTGGTGTGCGCACACCGGGGGCTATTCTCTACCTGAAGAAAGGCTACTCTGTCACTGTGGCAACATGACGGGCCGGGGGCAGACGCAGACGCCGTCGCGTACGCCTGTGTGGGACCTGAAGCAGTGGAAGCAGAGGGCAGACCTGTGGCCACCGGGCCTGAGGGAGGAGGAGGCGGGGAAGGGCACACACCCCGGGCCGGCGAGCTCGACTTCCCAGAGCGACCGCGGAGCGCAGTGCTGGTGGCGAACCGCCCGCCGTGTCTGCTGGGAGCGCGGTGTCGGTACCTCTCATTTACCACCTCCTACATCTCATTACTTAGTATTTCATTTTCTTGCACACTTTTATCCTCATACCTAGAGTATACGCTCATGAACGGCAGTCACTCTCACGAAGAGTCACGTCAAGTCACCTGTGGCTGCCACAGTGAACGGAGTCACGATGACGGCGTGAGCAGCAGACAGCCAGGACAGAAAGCCGTGCACGTAAAACACTGTGGAACCACTTCGCTGGGGCGGGCGGCAGCTGGGAAAAATGGAAGCGAGGGCAGCGGCGGACGACGGGACGGCAGGACATCGCACGCAGGCGGCCCTTTAACCAGCACTTTCCTGCTGATTTCTGAAGGAGCCGCTCTGTGTTCCGCGTGGCCACCATTACAGACATTTTTCCTTTATTTTCTTATTTTGCCATACTGTCGCTAGATCATTTTTAAAGAAAGTAATACAATTTCCTAGGAAGAGCATGCGGCGCCTGGGGGCCCAGTCAGTTAGCGCCCTACTTCAGCTCAGGTCATGATCTCATGACGCGTGGGTTCGAGCCCCGCGTCGGGCTCTGTGCTGACAGCTCGGAGCCTGGAGCTGCTGCAGATTCTGTGTCTCCCTCTCTCTCTGCCCCTCCCCAGCTTGTTCTGTCTCTCTCTTTCTCTCTCTCTCTCTCTCAAAAATAAACACTTAAAAAATTTTTTTAAAAACAAATTCCGAAGAAGAATAAAACAGCTGCACCTAGTCCAAGACTTACTGGTTAACTCCACATAAAAAAGGGAATTCAAAATTTACACGGTAATGTTACACACGTCACACTGAGTGTGAAGGTATTTCAGATAACAATTCGAAAACTCTGTCAGTCCTACTGGACAAAAAACACTTCAGGCAATAGATAGACGCATGCGCCACCGCCCCGTACCGTCCTGGGGCGAGTCGGCAGACTTGGTCACAGCTATCATCTTTGTGGTGGGCGTCTGGTCGTGACAGACCTGGTGCAGGAAGTTTATTGACTTTCCAATCAAAAGGACCTAAAAAGGAAAATATCCTCCAGTTACCGTGACGTAAAAATGATTAATCATCCAACTACTTCAAATATTCATAAGCAACAAATCGACTATTAATTTGAAATGAAGTCACAGAGGGGCGCCTGGGTGGCTCAGCTGGTAAAGCTGTCAGCCCAGGTTATGATCTCACGGTTTTGAGTTCAAGCCCCACGTCAGGTTCTGCACTGATTAGGATTCTCCCCCTCTTTCTCTTTTTCAATCTCTACCCCCCCCCAACTCATGCTATGTCTGTCTCAAAATAAATAAAGTTTAAAAATATTTTAATTGGGGCGACTGGGTAGCTCAGTCGGTTAAGCGTCCGACGTTCGCTTAGGTCAAGATCTCGCGGTTCGTGGGTTCGAGCCCCGCGTCGGGCTCTGTGCTGACTGCCAGCTCGGAGCCTGGAGCCTGTTTCATTCTGTGACTGCCTCTCTCTCTGACCCTCCCCTGCTCACGCTGTCTCTCTCTCTCTCTCTTTCTCTCCTAGAAATAAATAAAACATTAAAAAAATTTAAAAAAATAAAAAATTTTTAATTGTTTTTTGGTTAAGTAACAGGACATCTGGGATGGCATCAAGGGAACTCCAGGAACTGAAAAGACGGTTACTAACAAATACATATTAACATGTCAACGTATTCGACTAATACACTCCTGTCCGAGACGCACCGGCTGCCACACACACAGGGCCACGACAGCCACGCTCGCTCCCTCCCGGCCTCACCTTCCGGGACTGGTCCATGGTAATGAAGGAGGGGATCATCGACTTCCGCAGCGTGTACTTGTCCTGCCACAGCCGGTCCGTCTTGACTGCTGGATCCGAGGCTACGAAAAACTGAGAGCAGAGGCACGGCCGCGTCAGTGCGTGGCGCTCACGGCCAACGGCTCGCTACCAGCGACCCCGAGGCAGTCATCCTGAAGGAAAGCTCTCCAGGCACGGGAGACTCACCCCTCACAGAGCAAAACCGGTCTTAAAAACCGGTTTGGATACATCGCTCTCAAAATGGAATCACAAACATCGCAGACTTTTTAAACACAAGCCTAACCACACAGGCCGCTCCTTGAGGGTTCATGACCCTCACTCCGGGCACAATCACCACCTCTGCTGTGCTCTGGGTCAGGGGGCCGCCCCGTCTGCCTCGGTGGAAACCTGCAGGCATCCAGGGGTGCGGTGCGGTGCGACGGCCCCTGTGCTCCGCTGACCCCTCCTGCCCTCGCGCAGCCCCCCGCTGGCCCGGCCCCGCGGAGCCCCCGGGTCAGGAACACAGAGGTGCCGGAGACCACGGACCCTGCTCCTGGGCTGCTGCCTGCAGGCAGACCTGGGCATGCGGGTGGCCGGCAGCTGCCCGTCTGGTGACGTGGCAGGAAGCGACCTTCCTGAGAGCCACCTCTGCAGAGGCTTCTCCCATCTGCTGTGCTCCTCACCTGCGCTGGGTCCACTGACCAACCAGACACCTGACGTGAGAAAAGGCATGAGGCTGTTCTCATGTCTCAGTCCTTTGTCCTTTTTTTAAAAAAATGTTTATTTTTGAGAGAGACAGAGCATTTTGGAGGGGGGGGAGGTCAGAGAGAGGAGACACAGAATCTGAAACAGGCTCCAGGCCCCGAGCTGTCAGCACAGAGCCCGACGCAAGGCTCGAACCCACGAACTGCGAGATTGTGACCTGAGCAGAAGTCAGACATTCAACCAACTGAGCCCCCAGCCGCCCCTCAGTCCTGTGTCCTATTAGGTTCGTGCTTTTGTCTCAATAAACTCAATTTCTACTAGAACTGCTGAGTCAAATCAATTTTTCATCTTTAGAGACACGCCATATTCCCCTTCCCTCCCCAAAAGCCACGTCCACGGACACTCCCACAAGCGGGACGCTCCCAGGTCTGCACTGTCGCCCATGTGAGACTGCTCGTCAGATGGTGGTGTCGCGGCTGCCTGTACCGTTACTATTCTGACACAGGAAGTGGGGCCCATTTCCATAATGCTGATGGCCGTTTGCTTTCATTCTCCCATAAACTGTCTTTTCATCTCCTCAACCATCTATCAATGCCGTCCTTTTCTTATCAATATATGAAAATTCTGTTATATTAGGGAAAACAACCATTTGTGGATCAAGTATTACAAATTTATTTTCTCCAAGTTAATCATTTGGCACCATTTACAGTATGTTCCATGCTTTTGCTTTGTTCCATTTCTGTTGTGGAGGTAAATGTCTTCCTACGATCTTCCCATTTCTAGATTATGGATAATTTTCTTTTAGTAGTCCCATCCTGTTATCTTTGTTACTTAGGTCTTTCATCCCTCTAGAACCTTCCTTGGATAAAATGTCGGGGTCAGTGTTTCCTTCTGGGTGGCATCGTTTCTCCATCGACCACACTAGCACCTTCTCTGTAACACACCACCCTTACCTCCGAGCCAGGGTGCCTCCACAGAAGCTGTCACTATAATTAACTGCATCCGAAGATTAAAAAAGGGAAAAGTTGACTGATCAAGAGAGAGGAGGTACTGGATAACATCTGTGTTTCCCAGCCTCAACGGTGGCCAGTGGATTTGTGTTTTCTCAGCATGAACGCGGATTTACGAGCATGTATGTTTCAATCCACTAGAGTTACTATCCTTACTGGCGTTCCATCCTGCTTTCCCTTCAAGCTGGCTGCTCGGTCCTGTAGACGTGACCGGAGCTGTCTTCCTTGCTTCTCATACGGAAGGTGCCCCAGGCTCCCCTCACTCCTTTCTCCTCTGCACCTAGGATCAGCCACTCCTCCCAGGAGCCGGAGCTCCTCTGAGGGAGAAGTGGCACGTGGTCCACACCTCAGTACGTGGTAGTATCTTAACATGGAAGCTGGATGATTGGAGACTCCGCACTGGCCACGTTAAACAAGACAACCCAGTTCCCCAGTGGGACCGCAAAATCCACTTAAATCGTAACATACCTCTCTGGTGATTCTTCCACAAGTTCTAAATGCACAACGCAGACTAAGGCGTGTCCATAGAAACAGGAGAGATTTAAAGAATTTTAAAAATATTTTTGGTAATTATATAGCAATACAAAATTGATGGTTTCCTAGCAAAACATAAATAACCAAAAAGAGAAAGAGAGAACTCGAAATCAGAAACATAAAATGCTATCACTATGGCACAGTACCTACTTAACTTTAAAATAATGTATCATTCTTGGGGTGGCGGGGTGGCTGGGTGGCTCAGTCGGTTGAGCATCTGACTCTTGATTTCAGTTCCGGTCATGATCTCACAGTTTGAGTTCGAGACCCGCCTTGGGTTCTGTGCTGACAGTGTGGAGCTTGCCTGGGATTCTCTCTCTCCCACTCTGCACCTTCCCCACTCACACACGCACACACTCTCTCTCCCTCTCTCTCAAAATAAAAAAGCTTAAAACAAAAAAGATGTTATTCTAGACCACAGAAAAATATACAGAACATTTATTTTATGGGTCTAATATAACACTAGTAAAACCTGATAAAAATTATACCAAAAATGAAAACTATAGGCTAATTCCATTTATAAACATAGATGAAAAAATATAAATAAAATATTATCCTTGTATTACTGGAATAAGGTACTTTTGGTCAGAGCATACCACACTGCCAATATACTTCTAATTTTTTTTTATGTTTATTTTTGAGACAGAGAGAGAAAGAGAGAGAGAGAGAGACACAGAGCATGAGCGGGGGAGGGGCAGAGGGAGAGGGAGACACAGAATCTGAAGCAGCTCTAGGTTCCATGTTGTCAGCACAGAGCCCCACACAGGGCTCGAACCACGAACCACAAGATTATGACCTGAGCCGAAGTTGGACGCTTAACCTAATGAGCCACCCAGGCTCCCTGAATACACTCCTAAAGATAAGGGAATATATAACAAATTATAAAATAGTATCAGGTAGTCACTAAAAATAAAGTTCATTTTTAATTATTACAAACTCTTCTGGGTATTTGATGAAAAGTACAGATCTTCCTCCTGGGGAAAAAAATGTATACTTCCACAAAATACAGTTTTCTGTGCTATTCAGGAGTTTCAGAGATCACGCTTACGAGGCCCTGGTATAGAAGAATAAAATTTCATGGCATGAAATTTTCATTACTAAATAGCCCCCACTGTATCTGGTTAAGCAGGAATGCAAAGTAGTATGTTTCAGAAATACATTCAGTGAAGGTTGAAAAGAAATTTTTCATTATTTACTTCAAATTAAAAGAAAAAGTAAAAATAAAGGTTACAAAGTACTACGCAGGCACCATATCTGATACACACATAGAAAACCACATAAGAATACACTATAAAAAGAAATATACAAAAATATTAACAGCTTATCTGTTCATGATGGGATTACTAATAAATTTTCTGTTCATACGCTCAAAAATTTTTAATTATTCAAATATTTTTAAATCAAAAAAATATTGTTAAAAGAATCGAGTAATTAAGGCCAATGAGGTGCCAGTAAAAACGGTGCTCGGTAACATCACCTCCTCACAGCAACCAACAAAACACACATCTGTCTCCTGTTCACAGAAATCTACTCCTCAGGGTAAATACTTAAGAGAACAAAATTCCTAATGGTGTTAAGGTCTTACTCGATCCTTGTCAAGTCAGGGCCACATGGGATCAACAACACACAGCACAGCCACCGTCCTTTATAAGCAGGTATGTGAATAAATGCCGAGTTTGGGACCATGAGGATGAGATCAGATTTCTTTTCTTTAGGTACAAACTAGTACTTATTGATCTCTGCACTTTTAGATTTTTTGACTACTATTCCCTTTCTAATTTTAAACACATCACTAACGACTGCTCTGAGGGATAATGGGTACCTCGATCAGAAGCGATCATCACGTTAAGATCTACTTAAACCACCCCTGACACCAGCCCACCAGCCCCCCACAAGTCCCGTGAAAGGTCACCGGGTCACCGTGCCAGGACTGCTCCCGAGCCCGCCACTCAGCAGATGACAAGGCTGCTGTCTTTGTTATCAGTTACGCACGTAAACGGAAGAGTTAGCTCCCACAAACAACACGCTAATTCATCCTGATAGATGGGGTGCAGCCGGCTTTTTATCAGTATGAGCAATAAGACAATTTAATTTAAAAGATAAAAAACTCAGACAATTCAGTCATCTTTAGAAATTAGGGAAGCGTCACCCCATCGAGGGCAAAGTAGTATGCAATCACTCTCCGGCAAACACTGAGAGGAATAGGTCCATCCTGGCATTTAATTAATCCTCTGAAAAATATATAGTTGCAGAAGAAAAAAAACCAAGGTCAGAACATAATTGCTTTTATTTCACTGATGCATTTTCCACTCAAGGTTCTTTACTTTTCACCATGTGTCAAACACAGAAAGAACGGAGAAAAAAATATAACATAATTGTACCATGATTTCTCATTAACTGTTGGACAAATGCCAAGGTCTCCCTACTAAAAACAGAAATGAAGAGGGTAATTTTCTTAGCAAGCAACATAGCTTCTAAGAAACAGCCATCATTACACAAAGACCTCAACCCCAAATGGCAACAGGCAGGCCCCCCCCAGCGCCCCTGGGCCCCCCCCGCCCAGAGCCCCTGCAGCCCCCCCCAGCACCCCTGCGGCTCCCCCCACCCAGCGCCCCTGCAGGCCACGCAGGCTCTGCACTGGAACCGGAAGGGTCGCACACACAGTAAGCAGGAAAATCCCAGCCTGTCAAGGGAGGGGCTGGAAGTGCCAAAAAGCTATATATTATATTATATTATATTATATTATATTATATTATATTATATTATATTATATTATACTATATTATATTATAAACTTTTAAATTCAGTAATCCTTAGAAAAAATACACAAGAAACAGAATAACA